GAGCTGCGGCGCACGCTGCTGGAGGCGCAGCTGTCGAAAGCAGACGCGGTCGGCCGCGCCCGCGACGGCGCGAGGGCGGCGGGAGGCTCTGTTTGAACAGACCCGCCACTGCTACCCTTCCATCGTTTTCGCCTTTTTGGGGCCTCCTGGGAGGCCTTTGTCGCCATGGGTGGATTCGCCTCGAAATTCTGAACAGAATGCGCCGCGGGATTGGTCTGGGGAGTAGCGGTATCGGTACGTTTTTTGGTTTCCCCAGAGTCCTTCAGCGGGGTGAGGAACTCGGCTCCCCCTGTCACGACTCGTCGACTCAGAGGAGCAAGACGTAATGATAATGGTGCGTTCCACGGTTTTCAAGGTTCCCAGATTTCTGTATTTCTGAGCGTTCCCCCCCCCCCACACTCTGCACTAACGTTGACCGCTGGATATTCCTGGACATCCTGGAACTTAGCCTAGGCCGTTCCCATCATGATTTTAATGTCGTCCTGAGAGCAGCGGAGAGAGCTGCGGTCCTTCGCTTCCCTGAAGGGCCAATCGGATTGGCCACTCCTCTCGAGTCCCCCAGGGTCGAGGAAGCGCAGACATGGATTACGGCGCGTGGATTAGCGCCGGGTCCCGTTTCTACACCAAATCGACGCGCGCAGTCGCCAACGCGGGCGGCGCTGGCCTCATGTTTCTGGGGGTTCCCCGATTCTTGGATCTGGCACCAAAGCGCCAGATCCACGGATCCGTAATCCATGTTGGCGAGCGGCTGCAGTGAAGAGCTTAGCTTCGCCTGCTGTGACGGGTCGGCTGGAACGTCGTTCGCCTGCGCGCGGAGGGGGTGTGGGGTAGGGGGGAAGGCTTCTTAGAAGCGCCCCGCCCTGCCCCCTCCTGCGCGCCGCCAAGCTGTGACGGGTCGGCAGGAGCGTCGTGGGGGCGCGTTGGCGCGGCGTCGACGCAGCGGCGGCCCCCGTCGCGGGCGTACTCGGGCCCAACCGCCGCCGGTGGCGCGGAGGCAGTCGACCTCGGAGCCGATCCGCGCTGTCGGGAGACCTCGATGGTGCCAGGCCTGAGGGATTCGCGCGGTGTCGGGATCCAGCGCAGGAGTACGTCGCGGAGGTGGAGGGGGGCGCGGAGTGTGAGGAATGCGAGGTCTAGGATGACGGGGATGAGGAAGTAGAGAGGATTGGTTGAGGGGGGGAGGAGGATGAAGAGAAGGTGAAGGGTGAGGTTGAGGAGGAGGAGGAGGAGGAGGAGGAGGAGGAGGAGGAGGACCAGTGTAAACCCAAGAGGTATCAACGATGTTGGAATAACCCTCCCTCCAAGCTCCCTCTCCATAGGCCCCTACAACGGTTCATTTTCATTGAGGGAACTGCGTCGTTGAAAGACAACTGTTTGAAGACCCTGAAGCATGCCAACACATTGTTCTCGGGATTCCCACGCCCCGGATCAACCTGACTGTTGCATCTTGACGATCCTGAATCGTGCCAGAACGCCATTCCTGGGACTTGAAAACCGCCAGTCAACATAGCTTGTGCACCCTCATGAGCCTGAATCCTTCCAAAACACCATTTCTGGTACGTTGACCATGGGAATCCGAGTGTGCGTGGCGCTAAGGCGAGAGCGATAGTTTGAAAAGAACCGCCCTCAATTCGAGAATCTCTTGATTTTTTTGTAAGACGAATGTGCGCGACGCTCAGGCGAGAGCCACGTTTTGAAAACCACTCGCTCTCAGTCCGTGAAGCTCTTGATATTTTTGTAAGACGAATGTGCGCGGCGCTAAGGCGAGAGCCACGTTTTGAAAACCACTCGCCCTCAGTCCGTGAAGCTCTTGCAAATGTTTGAAACGAATGTGCGCGGCGCTCAAACGAGAGCCACATTTTGAAAACCACTCGCCTTCAATCCTTAAAACTCACTGCGACCTTGTAAGACGAATGAGCGCGGCGCTTAAGCGAGAGCCACATTTTGAAAACCACCCGCCTTCAATCCGTAAAACTCATGCGACTTGTTAAGACTAATGTTCGTGGCGTTAAGGCGAGAGCCACATTTTGAAACCTTCCCGCCCCCCATCTGTGAACCAGTTGAAACAATTTAATCTTCAGAGTCATAAGTGTGAGGTCTGGCATGAGGGGGATGAGGAAGAAGAGAGGATTGGTTGAGGGCGGGAGGAAGATGAAGAGCAGGTGAAGGAGGAGGAGGAGGAGGAGGACCAGTGTACACCCAAGAGGCATCAACGATGTTGGAATAAACCCTCTTTTCATGCTCCCTCTTCATAGGCCCTTACGACGGTTCATTTTCATTGATGGAACTGCCTCGTTGGAAGACAACGGTTTGAAGACCCTGAAGCATGCCAAAATATTGTTCTCGGGATTCCAGCGCTCCGGATCAACCTGACTGTTGCGTCTTGACGATCCTGAATTGTGCCAGAACGCCATTCTTGGGACTTGAAAACCGCCAGTCAATATAGCTTGTGCACCCTCATGAGCCTGAATCCTTCCAAAACACCATTTCTGGTACATTGATCATGGGAATTCGAGTGTGCGTGGCGCTAAGGCGAGAGCCATCTTTCGAAAAGGAACCGCCCTCAATCCGTAAATCTCGTGATTTTTTTGTAAGACGAATGTGCGCGACGCTCAGGCGAGAGCCACATTCTGAAAACGACTCGCCCCCAGTCTTTGAAGCTCTCCATTTTTTTAAGAGACGTTCGTGCGCGGCGCTAAGGCGAGAGCCACATTTAAGATTCCACTTGTCCTCAGTCCGTGAAGCTCTTGCAAATGCTTGAAACGAATGTGCGCGGCGCTCAAGCGAGAGCCACATTTTGAAAACCACCCGCTCTCAATCCGTAAAACTCATGCTAATTTTTAAGACGAGTGCGGGCGGCGCTAAGGTGAGAGCTACATTTTGAAAACGTCCCGCCCTTTATCTGCGAATATGGTGGAATTTGTTTTAACCTTCAGAGTCACCAGTGGTGAGGAGGTCTCAGGCGAAACGCCCGGCCCGCCCTAAAAATTGACCTCGGGGTGCGACAGGGAGAGGTTATTTATAAGGAGAAGGAATGGAGGAGGAGGAGATGGGAGCGGAGTGGTGGGGGGAATCATGCAGATGGGGAGGCGAAGAAGGGAGGAGGAGGAAAAGGAGGAGAAGAGGGTTTGGAGGTGGAGGAGCAACCCGGAGAAGCAATTACAACCACCCCCCCCCTTCCGGCGAAACGATATCCCCCCCCACCTGGAAGCGTTATTCTGGCACCTGGGGCTAGGAGGAGGAGGAGGAGGAGGAGGAGGAGGATATCGTTCGGCGAAAATGGCCCCTCGGAATATTGAATAAAATTGCGGTGCTAAGATATCCCCGGGGGGGTCTTAATTGCTTCTTCGGGTTACGCTGCTTCAGAAGACGACGAGAATGACGGCGATAACGATGACGATCAGGATGACGATGAAGATGATGATGGTGATGATGACGATGTTGTTGATGTTGGTGATGCTATGGTGATGCTGGTGATGCTGATATTTACGAGGATGATGATGCTGATGACGACGATGGTGACGATAATGACGCCGATGCTGATGATGCTGATAATGATGATGATGCTCATCATGATTACGATGACGATGCTGATGATGCTGCTGATGCTGTTTCTGATGATCATGACGATGATGACGATGACGATGCCGTTGACGTCGAAGCTGACGGTGATGATGTGATGATACTGATGCTGCTGATGATGCTCGTGATGATGATGATGATGCTGATGGTGATGACGATGACGATGACGATGACGATGATGTTGATGATGCTGATGATGCTGATGATGATGATGATGATGATAATGACGGTGATTGTGATGATGGTGCTGATGGTGGTGGTGGTGGTGGTGATGATCAGGCTGCTGAATTGATGGTCCTGACCATCACGAGGATGGCGATCGTGCCGATGGTGATGATGAATTTTACCATGGTAGTAGTGAAAAAATGCTGATCGCTATGATGCTAGCGGTGGTGGTTGTGACAGTGTTGTTGCTGATGATGATGATGACGATCATAATGATGACGGTGAGGATGGTGATGATGATGATGATGATGATGATGATGTTGATGTTGGTGATGCTGATGCGTATGACGACGCACATGATGATGCTGCTGATGATGGCGCTGGTGCTGCTGCTGCTAATGATGATCATGATGCTGGTGATGACGACGACGATGCTGATGATGCTGTTGCCGATGATGATGACGCGAATTACGACTAGATAATGGTGATGAGTGGCGGCTATGCCGATGACGACGACCACGACGACGATGTTGATATCGATGATGTTGATGATGGTGATGACGATGAGGAAGATGATGAGGTTGATGATGACGATGATGATGGTGATGCTGATTTGATGATGATGATGCTCATGCTGGTGATGCTGCTGATGATGATAAGGATGATGATGGTGATGGTGATGATGTTGATAGTGATGAAGATGACGATACCGACGACGATGATGATGACGATGCTGATGGCGATGATGATGATGATTATGATGATGATGATGACGATGATGATGATGCTGATGATGATGATGGTGGTGGTGATGCTGATATTGATGACGCTGCTGATGATTATGATGGTGATGATGCTGATGATGATGATGCTGATGATGATGATGATGATGATGATGGCGGTGATGCTGATGATGATGATGCTGCTGCTGATGACGGCGATGTTTACGATTGTGGTGCTGATGGTGATGGTGGTTGTTGTGATGTTACTGCTGTCGCTGCTGATGATATTGTTGTTGCCGAGCCAGGACGAGGACTTGAACTTTACCATGTGAACAGACATCGCATGGCGATTCGTTTTGCGTTCGTGACACGGCCTTGTGGCGCTCGAAAAGGTCGCACAGTTCCTCGAGAACGGCGAGCTGGCGGCCATGCTCCTGCCCGACAGGCGCGCAGCGGGGGGGGAGCGGAAGGAGGATAGCGGGAGGAGTGGGGGGAAGGGAGGGGGAGAGGATACGGTGGAGGTCGAGCGGGTCGGTTCGAGGTATTGCCAACATGGATGAAGGCGCGTGGACCAGCGAGGGTACCGCTTCCACACCAAGACGATGCTTTCCGTCGCGAAATCGGGCGGCACTGGCCTCATGATCCGACATCCATGTGGGCGCGTGCCCGATTTAGGAGGGGAGGGCCAGGGGGAGGAGATTCGGAGGGGGTGGGTCTTATGGTCTTTGTATCACATGTCTCCTGTGGTCGCAAGTCATGTGAGCCTTGGATACCCTCGCAATTCCGTCTTTAGAGTGCGTTGGCGTCGATCAGCGCCTGGTAATGTATCAGATACTGTTCACATAGCGTCAATTAGCCTCGGTTAGCGTCGATCAGCGTCGATTCGCGTCGACCCGCAAGAGCCAGCAAGATATGGGAGGCTCCCATGAGTTGCCGCAGAACGCTCTCTTGGGCCGTCTCGGGGCCCTCTGGGGGCAGCTTCGGCCGTCTTGGGGGTGGGGCTCTTGGTCTTGCTCCAGCCCTGCCGAGTGTTCGCTCCGCTCCTCTCTCGCTCCGCCCGCTCCCGCGGCCCGCGCCGCTCCTGCATCTCCCTGGCTCCCGCTGCTGCCCTCCCCCGTCGTCCTCCCCCTCGCCCTCTTCACCGTCGCCCTCCCGCTCCTCCCCAGACGGCCAGCGTCTCGTACAAGTTGAAACGGCGGCTCTGCCTCGTTTCTGGTCTCTTGGGTCCCTTGCCGGGCCTCGGGTCCGTGAGGAAACGACCGGGGATGAAAAACCAGTCCCGGGGAAGTGGTCGGGAGGTCGGGGGCCTGCGTTTCGAAAACATCGAGACGCTGGATGTCTGGGTCTTCGTCCTCTTGCTGTTCGTGGAGGGCCGGGACCTGGGCCTGAGGAGGACTTGGCTCCCAGGCCGAGCTCGGCTTTCAGGTCACCTCTTTTGCACCCCCTCCCCCGTGCATGCCGAGTCCCTCGTCCGCCTCCCGCCACTGCCCCAGAGGGCGTCCAGGCAGGCCCTCCCTAGGGGGGGGATTCTTTTCTGTTTCGAGGCGCGAAGGGGGTCCTCCTTCCTTCGTTCGGCGGCGATGGGCCGTGATCGAGTTTTCGAGTTCCCTACCCAATGCTCCCATGCTCCTGCTCCTGGAAGTGCCGATGCAGAGTCCCCCCTGGCTCGCCTCCCAGTCAGCGGAGGTGCCGGGTCGTCGGCGGGAGCGAAAAGCAGGAGCACGACACCCTGGGCCCGCAGTTCCGCGGCCCGCTGAGGATTCAGGCGCCCCGGGGTTTTCCCCCAGTCCTCTTTCGATCGTCCTCGCCGTCGCCTTCGTTCTTGTCCTCGTCCTCTTCTTCGTCGTCGGTCGTTGGTCGTTGGTCGTCTTTGTGGTCGGTTGTTGGTCGTTCGTAAATCGTTCGTCGTCCATCATGGTCGTCGTCGGTCGTTAGCCGTCGTCGTTGGTCGTTGGTTGCCGTGGTCGTCATCGTGGTCCTCCTTGTCGTCGTCCTTCCCCTCCTGCTCGTGGTTGTCGTCCTCGCTGCCGCCCCCCGGTTCGTCCTCTCCGTCGTCGTGGTGGTGGTCGTCGTCGTCGTCGACTCGGAGAGGTCGAGAGTGAGTGTGCGAGAGGAAGGAGCGGCGAGGAGAGAGGGCAGGACGCGGAAAGGGGAGAGGGCTGAGGAGAGAAATGGACGGAAGGGGGAGTGAGGAGAGGAATGGACAGACGGGGAATGGACTGAAGGGGGAATAGTGGTGTATTGCTGATCTCCTTGAGGGTCGGCATAACCCTGTTGATTCGGGTTGGGCATATGGGCTCTCCCATCCTTGTAGGTGGTGCTCGCGATGGTGCTCGCGAGGGTCGAGCGGATAACATTATGTTCCTGAAGCCTGTTGTAAGGACGTTGATTGCATGTGCAATGCGCAAACTGTGTGGGATCCACTTTGCTTTAAACTGCGTGACTGTTCAGGACCAGTGGCATTGCCGCTGGGCTGTGTCCAGGATGTAAACACCTCTGCGGGTGTGCATGCAGGACCGCTGGCATTGCCGCCGGGTCAGTACCTCAACTGGGCGCTACCTGAGTCACTTGGGCGAGCTCCACGGCAGCCCATATCGCCACCTACCTTGACAGGGGGACTTCCTCCTCTGCTCCTCAGCATGATGGATGGCCACCTTCACTGGGACAGGGGGGACTTGCTCCAAAGCAGGCTTCGTCGCTACCCCAGGAGTGGCAGAGGGGGCACTCTCCACGGAAGCCCCATTGCCACCCACCTTGCATTTGACAGGGTGGACCATCTCCGCAGCAGGACGGATTAGACACCCGTGGGCCACCACTCGGAGGAGGTGCAGCCAGCACCGGTCTCCACCACAGGTTGTAGGTGCATACGGTTCTTGTCACCACCGGATGCGGGATGCGAGCCCATCTCCCGTCACCATAACAGGGTCGCCGCCTCAAATGTGCCAGGGCCTCCAAGCAGTGCGGATCCCTACTGCTGAGAAGACAGGGGGACCCTCTCAACAGGGGTGACATTGGGGCAAAAGGGGAAGGCCAATCCGACCAGCTCCACAGCAGGACGGCTCGCCACCCCGATGGTGACAAGGGGTTCATCTTCCGCAGCAGGGATGATCGCCACCATGTCAGACCGCATGTTTAGAGAACGGGAGGTGGCATCCCCCAGATTTCCAGCGTAACACGATTTCCGCCCACCCGCGTGCTTCCTTGCTCCGCCCATGCAAAGTCCCTGGGGTCCATGGCCACGTCACTCGACGGATGGAGGAGGGGTTTACGCATCATGTGAAAGAGACGTGCGTCGCTACTACAGTTGGTTGCGGCCGAGTCAGCCCAGCAGCAGGCAGCCCTAGACACTTTGGCGCGGGCTCCCGAGGTCCTGTGCTTTCTGTGCGGCTGAGGAAGGTGGGGCTCACAGACGGGTGCCTTAGCGCTTCAGCGTCAATAGGGGTGCAATTGGACGGGAGGGAGGGGGGTGGATCGAGATTGAGCGGAAGGCGGATCAGAGAAAACTGTCAAGCGGAGGTGGGGGAAAGAATGGCCTGCAGAGCTGGTTTCCCTCCTGCTCCTCTTACTCCTCCTGTTTCGCTCTTGTCTGCCTCCTGGAGAGGAGGGTGAGAAGGATCACCGACCAAGCACCCAGGTCTACCAGCGGACAAAACGCCATTTGGTAGTCCTGTGGGGTTGAAGGATCTGTCTATCTATGGGGAGACACCCTTTACTTTGGGATGATTAGGATTGTGATGATGATGATGATGGTGCTGCTGATGATGATGATGGTGATGTTGCTGACGATGATGATGACGATGATGATTATTATGATGATGCTGATTGTGATGATGCCGATGATGATGATGATGATGATGGTGGTGGTGGTGATGATGATGATGCACATGAGGATGAGGAGGCACTAAACTGACGATGATGATAGTGGTGGGGATGGCGATGTTGAGGATGAACATGATGATGCTACTGCTGCTGTCGCTGCTGGTACTGATGATGATGATGGTGATAATGATGATGATGATGATGATGATGAGGAGGAGGAGGAGGAGGAGGAGGATGAGGATGAGGATGAGGATGAGGATGAGGATGAGGATGAGGATGAGGATGAGGATGAGGATGATGATGATGATGCTGATGCTGATGATGATGATGATGATGATGATGATGATGATGATGATGATGATGATGATGATGATGATGATGATTGGTGAGGATGATTGGTTATCCTTAAGGGCTTCGCCCCCTGCCGCCGGCCCCACCTCTCGGAAACGGTGTGAGGCCTGGGCGCCGTCGTGAAGCAGCGTTGGATCTCCGAACGGAAGGCCACTTGATGTATCCAGGTACAGATTGGGTAATTTCCGAAAGAGTATTGCCTCGGAGACGCGAGAATTGCATAGTGTACTTGGAAGTATGGTCTCGAGCGCGCGAATACAACGTAATTGACGAGGGTGCATGGCCTCGGGGACGCGAACATTGCGTAGCTTATGACGAATTCTAGACGCTTCGCGTATCCCCACCAGCCCGTCCAGAAACGACGCCCAGGCGAGTAGAGGGTCGTCCTGAGGGGCTTTTTGGCGTCTTGGGTGCCTCGGGGCGGCCTCTGTGGGCCGTTCGGGATCCTCTTTGGGGCCTCCTGGGGGCCTCTTGGGGCCTCTTGGGGCCATCTTGGGGCCTTTGGGGGCCTCCTGGGCGCTTCTTGGGGCCATCTTTGCCCCCTCAGGATGCCAAAATGGGGCCTCTGGGAGCACCTTGGGTGCCTCTGGGGGGTCTCTTGGGGCCTCTTGGGGGTCTCTTGGGGGCCTCCTGGGGGCCTCTTGGGGGGCCTCTTGGGGCCATCTTGGGGCCATCCTGCGGCCTCTTGGGGCATCCTGGGGGCCTCTTGCGGCCTCTGGAGGAAATCGATCAAAGAAGAGGGGAGCTTTAATTAGCCCTGCCCCCTCAGAAGGCCAACATGGGGCCAAAACCATAGTAAAATCAATGAGTTTGGCTTCCTCGCCGAGGCCGTTTTGGACGCTCTGACCGCTCCCCGCCCCTCCTGTCCAGGTCAGTGGGGAGGGGGGAGGGGGAGGGGTAAACCCCTCCCCGAAGGGGAAGAGGGAGGGGTGGAAGAGGAAACGCCCTAAACCACCGACGCCCAGAGGGCTGGTGGGATTATGGGAAATATTGTAAAGATGTGGAAAAAGGAGAAAGAGGGGGAGGGGGATGACGGAGGAGGAATAATAGGTAGGCGAGGGGGAAGGGGATCCTGGAGAGCTCATATGGCCACTTGGAATCGTCCCGGGACGGTCTTGGAGCGTCTTGGAACATCTTCGGAACCATCTTGAGGCAGGTTGCGATATCTTGAGCCAGCCTGGTGGAATCGTTTTGGAGCAGTCTTGGAACGTCTTGAAACATCGTCGGAGCCATCTTGAGGCAGGTCGCGCAATCGTCAGCCATCTTGGAAGGTGTCTTGGGCTTCCCGAGGCTCTCAGGGAGCCGTCTTGGCCCATCGTTGACGACCTTGTGAGCCTCTTGGGGGCCTCTTGGGCGTCGTTTGGGGCGCTCTTGAAGCGCTCTTGGAGGCCTCAGAGGCGCTGGTAGAGCCATGTTGGAGGGGATCTGGCAAAGAAAGCGGAAGCATCTTTTAGCGTCGCCCTTGTAGAGCCTTTAAAATTGCCTCTTGAGCCCCTCTTGGGGTGTTCTTGGAGCGTTCGTTGCCGCTCTTGGCGCCGTCTTGGGGCTTTCTCGGGCCCGTTTTGGAGCTATCTTGAGCCATCTTAGAGCCATTTTGACGCCTCGGATGTGCATCACAAGCGAAAAAGTGAGAACACCAAAAACAATGATTTTCCCTAGGGTTTTGAAGCATTTTGGCCTCTTGGAGGCATCGTAGTGATGCTCTTGTGAGTACTTGGAACCGTTTTGGGAAGCTCTTGGAGCGTCTTGGAACATCATGGGGACCATCTTGAGGCATCTTGCGCTATCTTGAGCCATCTTGGAGGTCATCTTGAGCTCCCTGAGGCCCTCTTGGAGCCGTGTTGCGCCACCTTGGACGCTCTAACTACCCGCGGCCCCCCCTGTCCAGGTCAGTGGGGAGGGGGTAGGGGGAGGGGTAAACCCCTCCCCGAAGGGGAAGAAGGAGGGGTGGAAGAGGAAACGCTCTAAACCACCGACGCCCAGAGGGCTTGTGGGATTATTGCCTCGGGGGCGCGAAGACGTCGTATTTTACGAGGGATTCTGGCTTCGGGGGCGCGAATATGGCATATTTCTACGTGTCCCAGGACCCTCCCGAAAATCTGAGAACCCCTCCAGGTGAAGGTCACCAGGGCCATTTTTCGGCTCCCCTCCCTCGCGCGGGCTTCAACAATTCATAGCAGGAACCAGAAGCCATACTTGGAACATCGGAGACTGGAAATTGTAGCTGTAGCAGGGAGCAGCAAGCCTAAGCCTTGGACGCTGATGGCCTCGCAAGGGGGCGAGCGAAAAACGATGCAGATTGTTGCTGATGGACGGTGATGCTGATGTTTATGATGATGCTGCTGATTCTGATTATGCTGACAGCGCTCACGACGAGGATGATGATGATGTGAATGATGATTAGTATGATGATGATGATGATGATGATGATGATGATGATGATGATGATGATGATGATGATGATGATGATGATAATGATGATGATGATGATGATGATGATGATGATATGTTGCTGCAAATGACAACGATGCTGATGATAATGATGACGACAGTGATGATGATGCTGATGATGATGATGATCCTGCTGATGCTGAAGACGATGATGGTGGTGATGCTACTTGTGGTGATGGTGGTCGTAGTTGTGGTGAGTAGAATATGATGGTGCTAAAGCTGATGACGAGTGGATGCTATTGAGGATGAGGGTGATGATGAGTTTGACGACGATGATGCCGCTGCTGCTGCTGCCCATGATGGGAGCTGAAAGCGATGGTGCTGATGTCGATGATCGTGATGGTGATGATGAGGATGATGGTGATGCTAATCGTGATCAGTGTGATGATGATGACGACGCCGATGACGATGCTGATGCTGCTGATTATGCCGATGATGGTGATGACGATGATGATGACCTTGATGCTGATGATGTTGATGCTGATGATGATGCAGCTGCTGCTGATGGTACTGCTGATGATGATGATGAGGATGGTGATGACGATGAGGGTGACGGTGATCAGGTTGTAAGATGTCGATGGTGCTGATGTTGATGCAGCTGCTTACACTGACGATGATGACGCTACTACCCATCATGATGTTGTCAACACTCATGATACGCAGTATGATCGTGATGATGATGCTGATGATGTTGCTGCTGATTATGATAATGATGCTGATGCTGCTGCTGATGATTCTGCTGATGCTGACGATGATGATGCTGATGATGCTAATGATACTGATGATGTCGTTCATGAGGATGATGCTGATGATGCTGAGGATGGTGATGCTGATGGTGATGATGCTGCTGATGATGATGATGCTTACGATGTTGCTGATGACGACGAAAACGATGATGATGATGATGATGATGATGATGATGATGACGATGATACTGGTGGTGATGATGCTGATGTTGTTGATGATGATGATGATGAGGATGCTGATGAGACTGAGGTTGGCCATGATGATGTTGATGATGATGGTGATGGATGAACATGGCAATGCTGACGATGCTGTTGATGACGACGATGATGCTGATGATGATGATGATGATGTTGATGGTGGTGGTGGCTGCTGCTGCTGCTGATGATGATGATGATGATGATGAATAATATGATGCTGATGCTGCTGATGATGATGATGGTGGTGATGATGATGCTACTGTTGATGATGATGCTACTGCTGCTGCTGCTGATGATGATGATGAGGAGGAGGAGGATGAGGATGATGGTGGTGGTAGGGATGACGATGGCGACGCTTGCGGCGACGACGACGACGAGGAGGAGGAGGAGGACAGGGAATCGGCGCAGCAGGAGGGAGGGAGGGAGGGAGGGGGAACGTCGCGAGGACTCTCCTCGCCCTCCCGCCTCCCGGCCCTGCCGCTGGCAGGTAACCCTGAAGGAGGGCAGCGAGGCGGGTGTTCTGCCGAAGGAGGCTCCGCGCGTGACGCCGTCCTACCTGCTTTCTCCTCCAGGGACGGCGGTGTGTTTTTTTCTCGGGTGAGGGAGGAGGAGGAGGAAGAGGAGGAAGAGGAGGAGGAGGAGGAGGAGGAGGAGAAGGAGGAGGAGCAGGAGGGGGAGGAGGGGAAGGAGGGGGAGGAGGGGAAGGATGAGAAGGAGGAGGAGGAGGAGGAGGTACAAGGTAGGAGGAGAGGGGGGAAAACGAGGGAGGAGGAATAATGAAGGATGGAGAGGAAGGAGGGTGAGAAAGTGTGGCAAGCGTCCCAGAGTAGTACTGCGCGGCGCGTGGCAAGCTCGGGGATTGTTTTTGTTGCGCGGGGGTGCCGGGCCGGCCATACCTGGGGAGTGCTGTGTGCAGAGTGTTCGGGGCGTTCACCAGGTCTCGTGCCCAGCGCTTGCTGCGTGAACGTGGCGCGGTCCCTCGAGACGAGAGGTACTGTCCAGCAAGCTGAGGCGCCCCTGTCGTGATATATTCGTGCTCGCCGGCAGGACTCCTGCACTGGTAGGCAAGTGATCAAAACGGGCACAGGCTGCTTCAGTGGTGGTCTGGAGGTCCGCCTGCAAGCCCCCAGCCAAAACGAGGAAGGGTGGAAGGAGGATAACCAGGAGGGGGAGGAGGAGGAGGAGGAGGAGGAGGAGGAGGAGGAGGAGGAGGAGGAGGAGGAGGAGGAGGAGGAGGAGGAGAGGGGGGAGGAGGCGGAGGAGGAGAGGGGGGGGGAGGAGGAGGAGAGGGGGAGGAGGAGGAGGAGGAGGAGGAGGAGGAGGAACAGTAAGTTGATGAAGAAAACAGCATGATCAGAAACTTTCGGACCTCCGCGCGGATTTCTAAGGTCTGCCCGCGCGCCAGGGAGGGAGGTCCAACTCAGGTCGGATCATCAGTCGGCTTTTTTTGTTGTTCTTCTTCGAGTAGCAGCATCCTGTTCCTGCCCACGCCCTCTGGTGGGCCATGTGGACGGACGCCCAGTTGGGTCGTCTCGGGGCCGTCTTCGGTCGGTCACGAACAGGGTATGTCGAGGCGTAGGGCAAGCGCACCGAGCCCAGGGCGGGAGACGAGAAGGGTGGGGGATGGAGAAGGAGGAGGAGGAAGAGGAGGAGTAGCATGGGGAGGGAGTGCAGGTGGGGGTAGCGCCCTCCCCTCACGCCAGCATCTCTGGGGAGCCTCTGCGTGCTCCCTCCCCCTTCTCTTCCCGCTCCCTCTCCGCTGCCACCTCCTCGTGCAGGGGCGGACGGGGAGAGGCGACGGCGATCTCGGCGGCGGCGTCGACGGCGGCGCCCCTCGCCACGCGAGTGGATGCAGCTGCCGATTGAGACCGTGCCGGCCGAGGCCTCCATGATGAGGCGCCCGGCCGCCACGGCTCGCGGGCACGGTCGTCCGCGGGTCGGGGGCGGTCAAGAGGGCGGTGATGACTAAGGGGCGGTGGTTATTATGGCGTGGGCCATGATATTTCCTCAGATTTCATGGCGACTCTTCTGATTTCGTTACGTCCATGGCCTTGCCCCTGGGCCGCGCACATGCCGCTGGCCATGATTTACGCCCCCCTCTCTTGGACGGCCCCTTCTTGGCCGCCCCCGAGCGGAGTGGGGAGGGGCCGTCTTCGGTTTTGGCGGCTGCGGCGCCGCCCCGCGCTGCCAGGGGCTGCCCTGCGGCCTGGCCGCCCCGCGCGCCCCCCGCGGCCTCGCCGCGTGAGTGCGCCCTTCTCCCTCCTCCTGTCTTTGTGGCCCGCTCTCCTCTTTCCCTCCCCTCGTGCATGCGGGACATTTCGCAATGCTGTAGCCGGGGTTGCTTGGACGCGCGAGCGAATTGCCTCTGCCGCGCCGCGACGAAACAAGCGGTTTGCGATCGGCGCCGTTGGGTGTCGGGAAGCACCAAGTTGCGCCAAAGGATCAGTGGTCCCTCGTGGGGGCGTGGAGGAGCGATTCTTTCGATGTTCTCGCTTGCCCCCCCAGGACGCAGGTTGCGAACCGCGCCCTTGGCAAGCCTTCAGCTGTTCAGTGGTACTTCGTAATCCTTTGGCCCGTGGGGCGGGCGGAATCACAATCTACTCTCAATGCCTTCGACGTCGTGTTTGTCTCTTGCCTCAATGCTGCCCCCGGTTGAGTTTGGATAGCTTTTAGGCAACTTGCCACTTCGGGCGTGACAATTCTCCTGTCAGCTGTCTGGATAATCCTAAAGCGCCATTATGGTAGTGTCGTGTCGTGCCGACGCGGCGGAGACTCCACCGCAGGCGTTCAAGTTGGAACGTCGCCAACGGACGATGTCGAACGATCCGCGCCACCGGAACAACGCGACGTTCATGGTTTGACGATCCAGGCGGTGTCAGAGCCAACGCCGACGTCATTGCGACGTGAACCCGTCGCACGCCACGCCTCCACTCACCCCTGCAAGCGGGGGGGCAGGAGGAGAAAGGGAGGGGGGGAGGAAGGGGGACAGAAGACTCGCTTCCCGCAGGCCTCACGAATCCGGCTGCCCAGACGGAGCACGTGTTCAGAGGTTGTCCAGAAAGTGCGTCCGAGCATTCTTGGGACGAGGGTTGAAGGTTGGAGGAGGAGAGGGGTTAAGGGAGGTCAAAGGAGGGAGGGAGGAGGGGGAAAGATGTCTTACCCATTCGTTGTAGCCTTGCCCCCAAGGCGGTTCACCCAGCTGATGTCTCCGTCAATATGCCACGTCATCTTCTTTGTGGAACGAGGCGCAAGCCATGTCGTTCGGCATCTCTGGTGCCGTCGCCCTGGCCATCCAATCCGCGAGCCAGCGATTCTTAGTAGTGTGTCGATTGGAAGTGTTGCCGACACTTTATCGTTTTTTTTTCGAGTTGGTCGTGATTTTCGGGGGTTCTTGAATTTCAGCGCATCGAGAGCATTAACTGGGAGGAAATGCATGCCGCGCAGTCAGAGGAGATGCGTAAGATGTTCAGTCAGACTCATGTCGCAGCTTCTTCCGACCTGCACATCCAACAATGTGAAAGAGGTTCTAGGGGTACCACTCATGAACGCCACTGCCACTGCGGCTCTGCAAAGATCCGGATCCCATCTGACATCGAGTGTTTCGGTGGTTGTAGTGCCTATGCCGTTGGCTGCTCGCCGAAGGTAGCTTGATACGTACACACTCGTATACATATACATTTAACTGCATATACATACAGATCTACCTTAGCCTATATAAACATATCTGGGCAGCCCTCCCCAGCACCCATAGATCGTCTTCCTTTCCTTTGACGGTGGTCTTCTCTCCTCTTCCTCTGTGTTCGTTCCTTCACTTCCTCCTCCACCACCTCCTCCTTTTCTTCCTCCTGCTCGTCCTCCTCCTTCTCTTCCAAGGGGGCAGAGGGGGAACGAGTATGCAACCAGACAGAGGGATACAGAGAGAAAGAGAGAGAGAGAGAGAGCGACTAGATGGAGCAGCGATCCTTCAGAAAGCATATGGTCTGCAAAGTATGGGGGCGCCACGCCATGTGATTTCACCTGGATGTTTGGGATTTCTGGTTTGACAATCCCAGATGCCCCATACGCTCATGTGGCTTGTTGGGTTTTCTGGGGGGGTTCTGGTCTGGAGGGCGGCAGCGTGTTTTGTCCGTCTGAGGATATACACTCCCACGCATCCCATACACCCGAATGGCATTCCATGGTATGTAGGATGCTCATACCAGTAATCCTAACAACCTCAGTGAAATGACAAGGCTTGGCGCCCGCTTACTTCGCACACCATGTGATTTTACAGGGATCGCTGTTCCCTCTAGTCTCTTTCTCCCTCTCTCTCTCTACCCGTCTCCCTCTTCCCTTCTGCCTCACCGGAAGAGGAGGAGGAGGAGGAGGAGGAGGAGGAGGACCTCCTCGTCCTATTCCGATGGGGCAGAGGGGCAGAGAGAGAGGGAGAGAGACTCGAGGGAGCAGCGATTCCCACGAAATCACATGGTTTGCCAAATAAGAGGGCGCCCACTCCTGTGGTTTCCGGGGATTTGGGGGTTTCTGGCATGAGACTCCGACAAACCCTGTGAGCTCATTTTAAGGTTAGTCCCAAACATCCCCACACTCTCGATAACATCGCACGGTTTCTGGGATTCTCATATCAGGGATCCCAAACATCCCAGTGACATCACAAGGGTTGGCGCATTCTTACTTCGCAGGCCATGTGATTTCAACGGGGTCGCTGCTCCTCTAGCCTCTCTCTCTCTCCCCCTCACTCTCTCTGCTCCACTGGACGAGGAGGATAAGGAGGAGGAGGAGGTGGAGGAGAACCTCCTCGTCTTCTTCCGATGGGGCAGAGAGGCAAGGAGAGAGAGAGAGAGAGAGATCCGAGCGAGCAGCGATCCCTGCCAACTCACATGGTTTGTGAACTGAGAGTGCGCCCAACCGTGCTTTTTTTGGGCGGGTGTGGGTGGGTTCTGGTTTGAGAATCCGAGAAACCATGTGATTTCATGTGATGTTTCGTTTTTAGTGTTTTTGGGGATTTCCGGGGTTCAGAGCTCTGGAGGGCTGCAGCGTGGATCCTCGTCAGAGGATATACAATATTTCAGCAATTCCCCAAACTCCGACTGACATCACATGGCTTGATGGATTCTCATATGAGAAATCCCAAACATCCAAGTGGCACCACAGGTTGTGGCGCCCTCCGCCACGTAGTCTCTCTCACCGCGAATCAAGTTAACTGTTGCGCTTTGGGAATCCTGAACCGCTCCAACAAAACATTTCTGGTACGCTAACCATGGGACTCATTGGAACTCATGTAAGTTTCACAAACGAATGTGCGCGGCGCTAAGGCGAAAACCACATTTTGAAAACGAGCCACCCTCAATCCGTGAAGCTCATGCAAATTGTTCAAACGAATACGCGCGACACGAACGCGAGAGCCACACTTTCAACACGCCTGTCTTCAATCCGTGGAGCTCTTGCAAAGTTTAAAGCAAATGTGCATGGCGCTAAGGCGATAACCACATTTTGAAAATGACTTGTCTTCAGCCCGTGAAGCTCTTACACATGTTTCAAACGAATGTGCGCAGCGCCAAGGCGAAAATCACATTTTGAAACGCCCCCGCCCTCAATCCGTGAAGCTTTTGGACATGTTGGACACGAATGTACGAGGCGCTTAGGCGAGAGCCACATGTTGAAAATCACCTGCCCTCCATTTGTGAAGCTGTTGCCACGTTCTACGCTTCAGTCTCATACATGGTGAGGAAGTCTCAGGCGAAACGCCCGGCCCGCCCTTTCGACTGGTCTTGGGGTGCGACGGGGAGGAGTTATCTATACGGAATAAATGGAGGAAGAGGAGGAGGAGGAGGAGGAGGAGGAGGAGGAGGAGGAGCAGGAGGGGGAGGGGGAGGGGGAGGTGGAGGTGGAGAAGAACCTCATCGTCTTCTTTCGATAGGGTAGGGAGGGAGTGATAGAATGAGAGAGAGAGAGAGAGTCGATGGAGCAGCGACCCCTGTGAAAACACATGGTTTGCGACCTGCGAGGGCGACGAACCCTGTGACTATGATCCCGGCAAAGCAACCTAACAGCGATGTTTAGAAGCATATCTGAAAGCATTCCCCTTAAGATTCAGATGAAAATCCAGTTGTAGAATTCTGCTGTTCTCGCAGTCGTAGTCGCATTCGCGATGACAGTCGCAGCGGCAACGGCAGTCGCAGTCACAGCCTCAGCCTCAGCCTGCCTCAGCCTCAGCCTCAGCCTGCCTCAGCCTCAGCCTGCCTCAGCCTCAGCCTCAGCCTGCTTCAGCCTCAGCCTCAGTCTGCCTTCAGCCTCGGCCTCAGCCTCAGCCTGCCTCAGCCTCAGCCTGCATCAGCCTCAGCCTCAGCCTCAGCCTGCCTCAGCATCAGCCTGCCTCAGCCTCAGCCTCAGCCTGCCTCAGCCTCAGCCTCAGTCTGCTTCAGCCTCAGCCTCAGTCTGCCTTCAGCCTCGGCCTCAGCCTCAGCCTGCCTCAGCCTCAGCCTGCCTCGGCCGCAGCATCAGCCTGCCTCAGCATTCAAAATGTGGCCCAGGAATGGAGTTCTGGGAACTAGAAGAACACGAAGTGGCCTACAGTTGGCTCCGGGCATTCAAAATCATGCCCAGGAATGGAGTTCTGGGAACTTGAAGAGCACGAAGTGGCCTACAGTTGGCTCCGGGCATTCCAAAATGTGGCCCGGGAATGGAGTTCTGGGAAATCGAAGAGCACGAAGTGGCCTACAGTTGGCTCCGGGCATCCAAAATGTGGCCCGGGAATGGAGTTCTGGGAAGTCGAAGAGCACGAAGTGGCCTACAGTTGGCTCCGGGCATTCAGAATGTGGCCGGGGAATGGAGTTCTGGGAGGTCGAAGAGCACGAAGTGTGTGTGACTGTTTGCGAAAAACGAGTGCGGCGGCAGCC